GCCAAACAAGCAAAAGCAAGTTGAGACGTTGAGACGCAAAAATTTATGGGTGCTGTAGTTGGAACCCACCATCCAAGTATCCAATTGCAACGGGTGCATGCATACATACATGCAAATTATGGAGCCTTCGTTTCATTTGCTTGCACTCAGAGTGATGAATTAAGAAAGATAAGAAGAAAAACAAAGGAAAAGTGGTAGTGGGGGTGTTGTCTTACAAGATATTAGAAGAAAAAGAAAAGCTAGCTCTGTCTGCAAGTTGCAGGTGGTCCTCTCGTGGAACATTCATGGTATTATTAAACAACGACCTGCATTCGAGAAAGGAACAGCCCGCCCAGACATATATGTTGGACCTTGGACAACCTGTATTGATCTCTGTCTGTACCGCCTGTAAAATTAACCTTGTTTCTTCCATTTATTTTTCTTTAGGGTTACGGCAAACCAAATAAATACTGCAGGCTTTGCCCATACTCTTGTGTTCGTCTTCTGCCCCTCTCCATTTCCATGCTTTGTTTGATTCAAATGTTTTCCAACAAGTACAATATGGAGAAAGATTAAATATACTTCTTTGGACAATGGATGATACAAGATTGGGCTTGGTTTTGGTTGTTTTGTGTTTCAACATAGATTAATTACAATGGGCCTCTTTGAATTGTGAGCCCTATTTAAAGAGTGGTTTCTTTGTGAACCATATTTTTTAGGAATCGGGGATCCTTGCCGGATCCTCTTTGTGAGGATCTCAGAAATTCGTAGATCATGTCCTTTCATTGTAAATCATGCGGTCAGAAATCATTTTAAATATTTTTATTTAAAATTAAACACAAACAGTACTTGACGAAAACTGACCGCACGATATACGATGAACGTACATGATTCACGGATCCTTAGGATCCTCACCAAAAGGATCCGGAGAGGATCCTGTTGGATTTTTAAGCACCCTCAATTAATTTTTTTATATTTTTCTGCACACCCATGTAATTTGTAATATTCTTGAATTATTTATACTTTTGGAATTAAATTTGCGCATTGCCATAAGTAATGGAAATGCTCGAATCAGAACACACAATCGTAATCAAGCCTAGGACGCGGGGGAGGGTGGGTGTGTGCTGGTTAAAGGCTTTCCGATGTTCAAGTCAGTAAGCTATATTAAAATTCAAGAAATAGGCAAGATAATAGGTGTGTAGAGATTGTGTTATCAGAGACAAACATTATCGGGAGATCCATGAGGATATATAGGAAGTAGATATTGTATCTTCTTATGACTGTGATCACTTGAGACACACGTCAATCCTTAGATTGTAAGGACTCCAAGGTTATAGGAAACCTGCTAATTCCATGCTAGATTAGGTTCCCGAATCTTGCGAAACAAGAATGGTTTATCTCAGTGAAGTCGACGGACTCCAAGGTTATAGGAAACCTACTGATTCATGTTGGATTAGGTTCCCAAATCTTGCAGAACAAGAATGGTTTATCTCAATGAAGTCGACAGAATTCGACCAACTAATGGTGGCATTGCTGATCCGTTTAGTTAACTTCACGATGAAAGTTGTTGAGTCCCTGAACTAGATTTCTGAGGTAGGTGTACTCCGATCCGTCGTACTTTGGCCTTGGAAATCATAGTCCCACAATTGTCTCTAACTAGCATTGGAAATGACTTGTTGCCCTTGAAGATGGGTAGCTATCTAGAGACCATGCCTTTCAAAGTAAGTTGGCATACGTACCCTTTTCTGCCTTTCAGACGCTTGGCGTCTTAACTTCGTTTTTTGTGAGCCTTTGGACATCGAAGTGTTCTGTATCCGAGTGTACTACCTTGTAAATCGTTCTTGGACTGTGCTTTAGGTTTTTATTTTTTGGTCTCCTTGAAATGTTTAAAAATCTAATCGAGTTATCTGAAATATAATGTATATTTTTCTCTTTTATCTAAAGCTCCCAAATTTATGCTATCTTTTTTTTTCAAGAAAATAACTTTACTAAAAAGAGGAGAAGTCATTTTGCAACTTAGTACTACAGTGTCTAGTGATATTTCTCTTCATTTATAAGGGAAATATCTTAGGTTTAATACTCGTCAAAGAAGAATTTAAATTACATTATTATTAGTCAATTGTGAGACTAAGCCTACATCTCATTATAAGTATATGAGTATTGATAATATTGTTTGGTTATACTAGCTTATGATATGTATAAAATGTGGCGCACCGTATTTGTCCCCATAACTGTAAACACGTGCACCGCACCATCCACGACTCTCAGCCGTCCGTTCCTCGACAGAGATAATTAGATTCTACGGTCTAATTCTAATTCTACAGAAAAAAGTAGACGAAAAAGGGATAATGGAAATTTGTCAGCAGCAGAAACCCTAAAACTCTATCGCCCCCTGTTTACTCGCAACATTCTCATCCTACGCACGCTCGCAGATCACTGAACCGCCATTGCTGATTGCTTTCAGGTTTTTTCTCTCTGTCTCTCTCTCTCTCTCTCTCTCATGCTTTCGTTTCCCGAGAAAATAAAAAAACTGCAAGAAAAGTGGCTGTGATATTCTCGGTTGCCAAACAGGGATTTTTGAAATTTTGTAGTTTTTATTGGCGGATTGTGATTGGCGTTCTGTTGTCTGTTTGTTTGTGTGTGTTTTAGGGTTAGAATGGCAGAGAAGAAGACGGTTGAAATCGTGGACGATCAGGCTGAGGATTTCTTCGATGCCGATCAGGCGGCGGGGTTGGGCCGCAAGGTCGAGGGTTTGGAGGGGGAGAAGCTTGAGCTGCAGCGTGAGAACAAGGAGACTAAGGAGAAAATCCAGGAATTGACGGTGGAGATCGAGAAATTGAAGAGCAGCGAGAAGGAGACGAAGGAGAGGCTCAGGGAGATGGAGTTGGAGATCGAACGGACTGAGGAGGGGAAAGATGTGCTGGAATCGGTTGCGAATAGAGCGATCGAGCTTGAGACTGAGGTAGCGAGGCTCCAACACGATCTGATCTCCGCCATGGCCGAAGGGGAGGACGCGAATCACGAAGTTGCGGAGCTGAAAGCGTGAGTTGGAAGAGAAGGGGGAGAAAATTGATAGCTTGGAGAAGGAGGTCGAGAGCCTGAAGAAGGCGAAGGCTGATAGCGAGAAGAGAGTTAGGGAATTGGAGAGGAAGATTGGGGTTTTGGAAGTGAAGGAGACTGAGGAGAAGAGCAAGAAAATTAGGGTTGAGGAGGAGATGAGAGAGAGACTTGATGAGAAAGAGAGCGAGCTTATCTTGTTCAAGAAGAAAGTGGAGGATTTGGAGTCAGTTGTTGCGAAGAACAGTGCTGAATTCGGGAAGAGAGTGAACGAGAGGGTCAATGTCGAGGCAGCGCTGAGGGAATCGGAGGATAAGTGCAGAGCCATGGAAATGAAGATGGGACAATTACAGAAGGACGTCATGGATGCTGAGAAGGTTATTACTGGATTGAAGGAGAGGACTGTTGAGGCCATTAATGGTACTGCGAATGAAATGAAGGAGATTCTGGAAGGTGGAGAGACGGGGTCGAAAGGATTGAGCTTGCCAGTTGTGGCAGGGTCTACTGGGGTCGTTGTTGCCGCGGCAGCTGCTGTTGTCTATGTGTTGTATGTAAGGCAGAGGTGATTGGATTGCAATGCGGTATAGAGGAAAAAAATCCAGGCAGGTTTAACGCTAGAGGTTAGGGTTTTTATTTGGTTAAGAGCATGTCGCAATTTTGTTAGAATTACTGAATCTTTTTTGTTGGCTTTGGTTTTCTTGCGAGCCGATCTTGTTAGCTCTATCATTTTGGAACGATGTTTTGTTTAGCTTTTGCTTGCTTTGTTTGAAAAAAATCCATATATGTAGTTCATACTTTGGCTATAACTATATGTAGTTCATACTTTGGCTATAACTATTTTGTATTCGTACACTGCGTGCTCCAAGCCATTTTGAATTGCTTGAATAATACATATTTTGCATTAGGTGTTTGGGAGCTGATTTTACACACGTTTTATAGCTTTTCCCACACCCCTCTTTGTTCCAGGCCATCGGATTGAATAAATCAAACGAAAACAACGGACATGATTAGCCAGGGGTGTGTAGGAAGCTATAAAAGGTGTGTGTTTATCATTTTCCTAGGTGTTTCTGCTAATTATTGGATGGTTTTTAAGCACATTGTTAATTTGATATCTCGAATTCATACAACTTTCCTTAAAAGTTCCGTTTAGTAGTTTTTGAAGAAAAGTTGACGTTTAATAGTCGAGCTAGGAACCATCACTTATGGTGCCATGTTGCTCCCCATTTGTCTCCCTGCTCGGGGTTGTGCTGGGTTCTGAATTCTACCAATTATGTGCAATTCCGTTGTCTTGGTTAACTGTTGTGTACTTCCTTTCGAGGATCAGCAACATTATGCAGTGATCATTTGCTGCATTCATGAAATTTTGTTTGTTCATGTTCATTTTTTTATGCAAGTTAGAACCTTTTTTCTGCGAAGTTAATCTTCTGTTCATGTAAGCCTGCGCCCTAAGTGACATGGTGAAGTCGCCCATTATAAGGTTGACTTCACCGCGTCATTTAGGGCTAAAACTTGAATAAAACCAGGTGTATAACCCCTCTCTGATCGAAGTTTCTCTCGTCCTTGAGGATTTCTTGCTAACCAACTCATAAACTTGTGCAGAAAGCAAGTAGAACTGCTTTATCTTTTGTTTTGTGTCATTGCAGTTTGTTTCAATAGTGTGATTGAGTGAGAGTTTGAGTAAATAAGTGATGAGGATGGCGTAATGAGTTAGAATTATGATAGTTGATGGTTTCATTCACTTCAATATAGCAAAAGAAATGTGCGTTTGAGCACTCAATATCGCCTCGTTGCAACGGTTTTTCAACTCCAAGATCTGGTGGTGTACCCTTGGGCCATTTAGGTTCGCTTTACATGCACAACCATCCGCCTGTCGGTGTAAATCTATCATGACTAATCTCGTGATGAGAGAAAATGGTGTATGCAAGTAAAAATATTGTTGTATCACGGACCCTAACAGTTAATAATTGAAGACTCAAGCCTGAACCTGTCTTTAGCATTGACCATCAATGTGTACATGATGTACATTTGGTAACAAATCCTTGACCAAATAAAAAATAAAAAATATAAGTGAAATCTTTAGTACATACAAATCATTGAAAGGAATATAAAAGAACGAGTCTTTAGTAAATACAAAAAATATACCAGATAACGGAATTCACTCCACACGAAATAACGGAATTCACTCCACACGAAATCACGAAAACCAATCTCATATCCTCAGCAGCTAACACAAAATTAAGCTCTAAATCTCAAACACTAATTAGATTTAGGGTTAGCTGTGCAACCTTCATGGCTCAGTTGCACCAGCGGTAATGCTTCGTTTCTGAAGAATAGAAATCGGAAAAGAAGATACAGTTAGCCCATGGTTTATTGACAAATGATATGATTCTACTCTAAATTCATCTAAATTACGGGAAAGAGAATTCGAACTTGGGTGCAGAGGGAGGGAGTACACTGATATAGTCAACTTGACTAAGCTCAGGTTTACAGTTAGCCCAGAGTTTAAGAAACAAAGTGTTTAGCACGATGAATGCAACTGACAGTCATGGAGGTGTGCGTGGACAACTATCAGCCATTGATGCGTAAAAACCGCTTCGATCAACGGCTGACAGTTGCTCCCACGCTGATTAACTATCTCCAAGGCAACTTATATGTGCATACGTGTGACTACTGATAGACCCATACATTATAGGCCACCTACTAACCGTAAAGCCATGTTTATGAAGCAATATTCCAATATACAAGAGTTCATATGCCAAAACATGACAGCACTTGACAGCATATTCCAATACCTCTCAAGGACAACTTTTGACATAAGAAAAAACAGGCAGAACAGCAACGTAGTCGGATCGAAACGAAAGAAATCAAGTACATAGTCTGAACTAGTGATGGTGCTTCAAGTTCAACTAATTATTTTAGGAAGATATCTTCATTTAATTACCTTGAATTATCTATCAGATCTTCGGTGCAGAATTTCGAAGAGTCCACAGCAATTCTTCCATGAGGTCGGCTGCAGGGGGTGTCCGGCGACAGTTACAATCGACTGCCAACAGAGAAACAAACAAGTAGTCATTGATTTGAAAAGAATTTTATGTAAGCTACAAAAGTTACAACAATTTAAGCAACTTAATTAATTACCGGATTTCCTGTGCTTTCGGGGATCTCAGCCTTGCCATGATCTTGCCCGGCATCAGCTGATTCGACTGCAGGAACCCCTTCCTTGTAAGCAGTACCCGATGAATCCCCAATTTGCTCTTCGGAAACCGGTAACTTTGTTTCCTCGATCCCCTTTGACACAATATCTGCAAGAGCAGCAGGAACCGCTTCCTTCTCATCGGAACAAGGCACTACTGCTTCTTCACTTCCTTTCGACACCACGTCTGTTATGACTGGAGCACATGATTCTTCAACCTCCTTGGACACCAGATCGGTTTCGACTAGAGCAACCCCATTACTCTCTTCCGCATCTGACAATGTTTTTTCCTCAATCTGTTTCGACACCTCCTCCGTGATGGCCGGCGAAGATTCACCAGTCTCATCCAAAGACGCCGCGACTTTCTCCTCCTCCACCTTGGTTTCCACTACAACACAACCTTGATCCAAATGATTGTACATAGATTCAACCGTCTCAACAACCGAGACAACAACTTCTTCGGTCCCCTCCACTTCCCCTGAATCATTCGCCACTCGAGCACCTTCCGCCTCTTCATCCGAACTACTACTTGAACTCGAACTCGAATCATCAGCAACATCGCGGGTTTCCTTTACCGGCTCGGAACAGTCATCGATGGCTATGTCCCTCACAGATTCAACCACAGGTTTTGAGTCGCCAACATCCTCCGGTTGAACATTTTCTGCGCCCTCCAACTTCCCATTCGAAGAATCCGCCATTTCGTTAAGATCTGCAGAAACTTTCTGCTCCTCCTCCTCTGCAAATGAATATTGATTAAAAGAATGACTTTCACAAAATATAGTCAAGTTACAAAATTGCTAATTTAACCAAGTAGAAAGTGAAGATAAAGCAAACTAAAAGGAGTTGGCAAATTACAGATAGATGAATGAGAAATGTATAACAAGTCAACCGATGTGGAATCCAATCGCCAATTGCCAATTAAACAAATAAGAAAATTGGATTCCTAGAGAGAGAGAGAGAGAGAGAGAGAGAGAGAGAGAGAGAGAGAGAACTTGGGACTTGTTGGGGTTGAAGGGTAGGGGGAGATTGGCGGATGGTTTTTTTCTTGGCAAGTAGTTTTGATGTGATTTTCTTTGAACGTGGAGGCATGGTTTGATTTGTTGACTGGTTGCTAAGAACGTAGAGAGAGAGAGAGAGAGAACGCGATGAGTTCTAAGTTAGAACTTCTAACGTGTTTTGAAATTGAAACCGTTAAGGAGGGAACTCAACCAACCACAACGTTGTCGGTACTTGCATTTTGCAGGCAGAGCATGGGACGTGGCCCTTCACAAGTTATAAAGGCGGGAGTCTGAGCGATACAACACAATCAAGAGTCACAAGAGTCGCACCACCCCCAATGTAACGTTCCAGTGGTTTCGATGATGAATGTCATGGGGCCATACCCATACCCCATCGTTTTGCTTTGCGGAATTTATACGCTGATTCAAAACATCTGATACTCTTGATTTTAACTATTGTTCTCGTCAAAAACATAAAAATCAAGATTTAACGCTTAAAACCTTAAAGTATTCTATATTCCAAAGGAATTTTTGTTTGCTTTGTTTTGATCGCTAAAGTTTCCCAATGCATAGTCCGTGTTTTAAGTTTATTGTTTTCTTTTTTGATACAAAGATAAGTTCTTGGGGAGGGGAAGGACTTCATGAGTTCCTTTGTTCTTTTATTTACAAAATTATATTATAAACTGTTCTAATTTATAGAAAGTCAGAATTTGAACTTAAGTGCAAGGGGACGAAAACACTGTCTTAACTAACTAATCCAAATGAGTTTTTTTCTGTCATTTTGTCACCGGAACTTGTATGATTTTTTTTCTTTTTGAACATTAATAATAATAGAGATGGAAAATCAAATTCACAAACAAAGTGTATGGGCGACTGCTCAACTGAGATACAAAAGCGATTATGAGAGGAAAAAACTTGTAAATACTGAGGAGTAATGTTATTCAAGCCATGTTTTTGTACCACATTTCTATACCACCTTAGGTGACATATAATGTGGACAGCCACATCATTTGAAAAATTTGCAAAATCCAAAGAAAAGAAGAAGAAAGACTTCTTGTATACCACAATCGTCATTTAATTAACTAGTTTTTCTTAATTATTAGTTTATTAAATAATCAACTAAATTTAAAAATCTGATTAATTCAAATGATGTGGCTGTCCACATCAAATGTCACCTAAGATGATATGAAAATATGATACAAAAATATAGTATGAATAACATTACACTAGGGGGTTGGTAGTTATAACTTTTATGCCAAACAATCGACATGAAGGTATCATTTTGTATATAGATGGGACGGGATGGAACATAATGGGACTGGAAGGGACGGGACAGGACGGGATGGAACGGAGAGGGAGGAAAGATGCCGTCGGATGGAAACAAGGAGGAAGAAGAAGGAGACGAAGATGTTATAATTTTGTGTTCCACGGATGTGGAACGAGTCGTTCCAGGGGGTGAGGCAGAACGAAAATTCATCCAAAATTCGTCCCATGGAACAGAACGTTCCACCCGTTTTAGGCGCACGAAACGTAGGACGGAACATCTTTTCTCACTCCGTTTCGTCCCGTCTCACGTACCAAACGGTACCTAAGGGACCATGTGAGGGGTCATCTCAAGATTGTGAAATGAGGGACCATGTCCTAAACATTAATGGAAACCTACCAAGTCTAAAGTTGTCCTTTTATTGTATTTTTATATAACAATGTATTTACAATAAAGTATAGAGATAATTATTGGATCGAATTTGTTATTTATAGTAAGGGATGAAGATTTAAACTTAAAATTCTTTCACTTACAACTGAAGATAAATATCACAATGAGAAAGGCTAAGCGGTCCTTCTCAAAAGTAGCACTCTCTATGGACTCTATGGTATCCTATGTTTTTTGCACATTGTTTTATAATGTTGGCACGAAAATTGACGTTAATGTGTGAGATATCGAAGAGTTTCATTTTTGAAAGAATCCTCTTAGCATTTCTCATATCAATACCGTAGTACTAAGTGGCACTCCAAAACTGTCTTAACTAATTTTTCTCCATAACTACCATGATTGGAATTTGAACATACCTTGCCATGATTTGCTTTTTGTATTGAAACCAAACAAGGCCTAAACTTAACCACTTATTTTCTCAGCCCAATTATAATTCGGGCCAAACACAAGAATCAATCAAACCCTACTGAACCCCATTTTTACAGCCCAAATCAACATTACAATTCTCAATCCCTACTTTCTCCCAAAAACCCTAAACCCCCAAAAAGGTCATATCCTTCCACAGTTTAATCTTCCTTCTCCTTAAAACCCTAGCAAAACATCGTCCCTTTATCTCTTCCTACTCCACTGCTTACTCTCTTCCTCCGCCTCCATGGCCGCCACCACTCCAGCGCCTCCACCTTCCGCCACAAAACCCACCAAATCGATCGCCCAAACTGTGCGGAAAGCCGTAAACGCCCTCATCAAATGGCGGAACGACAAGCTGCAGACCCAGAACCCCGATCTCCTGGAATCCGACGAGTTCGCCTACCTAGTTCTCACCCTTAAGAAAATCCCGCCAAAGGGTCGCGTCAACGCCTACAAAATCCCCCTCCCAAATCCCCTCCACTCCCAACTCTCCGAGCTCTGCCTGATATACGACGACGGACCCAAGTCCGACCTCACCAAGGACTTCATCGAGAAGAAAATCAAGGCCGAAAACATACCCGTGGCGAAAATCTTGAAGCTTTCGAAGCTCAAGAGCGATTACGTGCCCTTTGAGGCCAAGAGGAAGCTGATGTATTCTTATGATATGTTTCTGGCTGATAAGCGGATTGTGCCGTTGCTGCCGAAGTATTTGGGGAAGCACTTCTTTAAGAAGAAGAAGATTCCGGTGCCGGTGGACTTGCAGCACAAGAATTGGAAGGAGCAGGTGGATAAGATTTGTGGGTCGGCTTTGTTGTTCTTGAGTACAGGGACGTGTAGTGTGGTGAGGGTTGCGAAAGTTTCGATGAGCATTGATGAGATTGTGGAGAATGCGGTTGCGGCGATTAATGGGATAGTGGAGATTGTGCCGAAAAATTGGGGAGGTGTGAGGTCGTTTCATTTGAAGTTGTTTGAATCGCTTGCGTTGCCGGTTTATCAGGCGGTTCCAGATGTGACATTGAAGATTGAGGGAGAGAAGGGTGTTGTGGAAGGTGAGAAGGAGGTGAAAGAGGTTGATAAGAGTGAGAGCAAGGATTTGAAGAGTGAGAAGAAGAGTAAGAAGAAGGGTAGGATTCATGAAGTGAGGTATTTGGATAGCCATGTTGGCGAGGTGCTTGATGATGATGATTTCGGTATTGTTGGTGGTGTGGACATTGGGGAAGGTAAGCAAAGCGAGAATGATGAACCAGACAGTGGCGAATTGGGGAAGAAGAAGAGGAAGAAAGAAAAAGTTGCTGGTGAGTTGAAGGGTGAGAAAAGGTTGAAGAAATCAGCTAAGGCGAAAGATGATACTGAGTTAAAGGGGGAAAAGGTTATTGGTGAGAAGAAGTTGAAAAGGTCGGCGAAGGCAGGAGAAGAAGATGGTGCCACTGTCAATCATAAGAAAGATGGGTTGTCCTTGAAAGAGAAGAAAAAAAATCTTACAAAGAAGAAAGTAGATGATTCGTCGGCTCGAGGAAAAGAGTCTATTGGAAAGAAAGAGAAGAGAAAGAGTAAAGAGTCTGTTGGAAAGAAGGAGAAGAGGAAGAGTGAAGATGAAAAGTTGAAGAGCACAGAAGCAAACCTGAAGAAGGCCAAGAGAAGTAAGAAAGCAGCAGAGTGATTCGGGATAACAGGCTGCAGGCGAATGACAGGCTTTGCGGTGGGATTCAATACATCCGGGCAAGTATGGCTATCCATATTGAGTCGTCTGGAAGAATTTTGATTGTTGTGTATTTTATTCTGGTATTGAAATGATGATCTTATTTGTTAGTTTATGAGTTGACATTGCCTATTTACTTAGTTATAACTTATGGAGATCATGCAAAATGTTTACTTTTCCATCGTGGTCTTTCTGCAGTCCCTTAACTCTGAATTTGAACTGAGATTGTGTCTCTATGAGTCTATGACTTAAACTTGCATCCCCATCTCCAGTTATAAATGAAGATTTTGCATCAACTTGCATCTCCATATCATGAAAATCTTTCGTATTGATTAGATTTGATATTCAAATTCAGTCAAAGTTTTCGTGAGTGGGCTGTTGATTTGTTTAAGGTCTACCTGCGGCTTTTGTGAAACCCTTCTATCAGCACTTTCATCTCTGTTTTGTGCTATACTCTAGCAGACAGAAGTGCAGGAACGTGTAGCTTCATATCATCGAGTGATTAGATTCGATAGACAAACTCAGACAGATACTTATTGAAGTCCAAATATCTCTTGATTACACTTAGAAGTAGAACGCATAAATCTTGCAACTTCAAGCAGGAGAGAGCATGCCTTGTCTAGCAGCTTGGACTGTACTGACTATTTTAATCGGATAGGATAAATAGTCACCGATAGTATTGACTAAGGGCTTGTTTGGTATTGCTGTGCTTTGAAAAAAAGCTGCTGTGAGAATAAGCGGTTGTGCTGTGAGAATAAGCGGCTGTGAAATAAATCAGCAGAGTGTTTGGTAAACTTTTTTGTAAAAGTGCTTTTGGAAAAAAAAAGCAGTCTGATAGTGGGTCTTTTCATTAAAGGAGCATTGTAGCTTCGTGTGCTTTGAAAAAAAGCCAGTTTTCCAAAGCTGCAAATAACAGCTTTAGCTTTTTCCTTTGATTTCAGCTTATTCTCACAGCAGCTTCCAAAATAAGTCTTTTTTTTTTTTCAGTTTACCAAACATTTAAAATCCTCACAGTTTTTTTTCCAGGGTGTTTTTTTTTTAAGCACATCATTCCCAAACCACCCCTAAATTAGTCCGGCGTTTGGTATACTATCATACTAATGATTGTATTATTTACACTGTGTTTGGCAATCGGATAAAAAAGAAAAAGAAAAAAAATGGTTTTTGACAGGAAGCACATCCAATCTTCACGATAGGAAGCAAATGAAAAGCCCCCAAATTAGGGCAAAACCTAATGTGAAGAAAGGGGAAATTAAGGATTTTCCTTTGGCAGCGTTCATCCCCCAGTGGTTTGCAGTGGTTCAAAGCAATTGGGTCTTGTGCGATGTGGGGGTGACGCAATTG